TTATAAATACAAAGCACAGGCTAGCTACAGTCTGTTTGTTTTACCTTATTAAGATCACACAATTTTGGGGGTAATACAGGAGTTTTCAAACTTCATTGCACCGCGACCCCCTTTTGACAACAAAAATTACTACATGACCCCAGGACGGGGGACCGAAGCCTGAACCCAGCCGAGCCCCATTGCTCTTGGGGGTGGGGGAGCCAAAGCCAAAGGGCTTCAGCCCCACTGCCCAGGGCTGAAGCCGAAGCCGAAGCCCCACCGCCCAGGGTTGGGGGCTCCGGTCCTGGGCCCCAGCAAGTCTAACACCAGCCCTGATGACCCCATTAAAATGGGGTCCCGACCCACAGTTTGAGACCCGCTGGGGTAATATAAGCTTGCATCCATCAACCAGTATGATGGTGTTCATTTTTTAAAATACATATTTCTGAATTATGTATTTTATAAATTACATATTTGGTGAAAGCCACACAATGGATAAAACACCATTCTACAAAATTATGAAGTAATGGAGAAGTTGCTCATGGCAGATTCTTTATACAAAGAAGACAGATCAAAAATGTTAGACAAAATGGTTTTGTGAACATTGTTGGAGGAGATGGAAGGGGAAATGAGAAAATACTGGAAATTAATAGGAGACAGCTGTGTCTGTTTACCATAAGCAGACACAGGAGGGAGAAGCTCTTTGCTGCAGAAGAGCCTTCATTTGGTGAGGTGAGAACTGTTTTAAAAGTGCTCATTAGCAACCACTGCTGGCTAGTAGATCATGGAGTGATAATAGTTTAATATGCCCAGAGGAGAAATGGACAGAATCCAAGGATAGGACCTCAGAGTGTCTAATTCTGCCAGTCCTGCTGAGAGTATTTCCATATGGTAGCATTGACAACCATTGCCAAAAAACCATGCTTAGTTGATCATTAACAACTTGTATAGTAAGCTAACCAATGGATGCTACCTGTTTTAAACAACTGTAAAAGTAATATAACTCAGATTTTAAAATAGCCTAATGCCATGTGCTGCCCTATGAGGAAGATGCAGGTGCAATCTCTAGGCCCTTTGACATTTTTCCTGATTTTTTTTTTCTGATTCTTCCTTCCATTGGCTGGAATCCAGAATTTGGGTTATTGTCAGATTTTAGTTGATGCAGACCTGGCAAACTAACTCACTGCTGACATAGAACATGATGTACCATATTGTTAATTTTTATGGCTGATAAATCATTCTTTACAGGAAAACCATGAGGTGTCTGGAGCCATTTATGAGCTAAGCCCTCTCCTTCATATAGCAATTCAAACATATCAAAACCAGCAACTTATTCAGAGGATACACAGGCAGAGTTGTTAACATAATAACAATGGCTGGGCTGAAGAGGTATAAATCTGAAAATATCATTTAGTGCAACCATTCCAACCTATTTTCAGTTGTCTGGTGGACAGATGTAGACTCCCAGGTTTCTCTAGCTATTTGTTTTGTTTAGCAGACTTGAAAACTTGGACTCAGACTGTTAAATGTTGTAATTGAAGTTCAATTTTATCTTTACATTTTTACAGGTTAACAAGCTTCTGATGGTCAATATAAATTAGAAAACCCCAAACTCTCTACTACTACGTGTGTGTGTGTGTGTGTGTGTGTGTAATATATAATTTAACATAATTTCCCACATGTCTAATTTAAAAAGTACTAGAAGGAATTTTATTTTTTTTAACATTAGATAAGTGATTTATTTTAAATTATACTAAGTGTTATCCCTCTCTTCTCCCATAAAGGATTCCTTAGCTGTCAAGCTTAGGGACTGTATAATCTTCTGAGTAGGAGGGTGGTCTTGGACATAACGGAAACTTCTGTAGTAGATCAAATGGATGGATCTGAAAAACAAATTAGTTTTCCAGGAAAGGCCCAAATAGTAACAGATTTCCTGGGGGGTGGAATCCAGCATTAGAAACTGTAAGATGGTTAAAAATACAATTAAACTATGAATCAGTTTGTTTATGGTTCATTAATTGTGCAGTAGCCCTGAATATCTGTATTTTTCCAAACCTACCCATGACTTTTGTCTAACTTCAGTTTAAAGGAAAACAGTATTGGGTTTTTTTACACTTTTTAAAAACTCTTCATGTGTAACAGCTTTTTAGAATCTTGAAAAAGTCATTCCTGCAGGTTTTTCCTGCTGAGGAAAACCAGATTTTTCTGTGTCTTTAATGAGTCATCATGGCTTTAGATTGTCATTAAAAAAAAAATCTTGATGAGGGAACAAATATAAGTCTGAGAGTTGAATGTTTCATTGAAAGCTTAAAGGCATCTTGGCAGAATCTGAGAATCCATCATGTTTTCTTTTTACAGCCATTGCTCAGACAAGGTCGGAACTTTTTTTGAAATACAATACATTGTTCACCATTCATCTTCACAGTCAGCATGTGCTTCTTAGTGCAGATCCTGCATTTCTTATGTACCCAGATCTTCCACTGACTTTACTGGGAGTTTTGGGTCCATGCGGAAGGCACAATCAGGCCCTTAATAATATGTACAGAACTATTTTTCTTTAGCCATAATTTCCACTGTGCTTGTTTTTTTTCCCCTTTTCCAATGTCTAACTAATCAGTACGTAGTGACACTTAAGTCAATGGGACTTAAATACATGCTAAAAGTTAAGCACATGCTTGAGCACTTTGCTGAAGCGGGACCATCATTCCTAAGGACATTGTCAACACTTAAATAACGATAGTAATAACAGGGTTTTATCTTTCCTTCCCACTTATTTTCCCTGGACCCTTGCCACCACCTTAGTAAAATCACAGTTGGGTGGGTTTTCGCCTCTAGTTTCACCAGCTTTGAAAGATTTTCCGTGGTAGTCCATTGCATTGCTTTAGCTCCAGACAGAAAGCTGCTTTAGGCAGGGCCGGCTCTGGCTTTTTTGCCGCCCCAGGGGGGGGAGGGCGCCGAGGGGGAGGGCGGCCGGAGCCCTGGGAGGAGGGCGGCGAGCCCCGGTAGGGGCTCAGCTCTCCCCTCCCCCCCCCCGGCGGCCAGAGCGCCGGGGGCAGGGCGGCGAGCCCCGGCTGGGGCTCGGCTCTCCCCCCGGCGGCCAGAGCGCAGGGCGGCGAGCCCCGGCAGGTGCCGCCCCAAGCACCAGCTTGGGTGCCTGGTGCCTGGAGCCGGCCCTGGCTTTAGGTATCTCATATGAATCTTCCAAAATTTATTTGACTTCTTTAAATACTCAAGCAAACAAAAACTTGCTTTTGCCAGATGATGTAACATCTATTTATCAGTTTAAAGTTTGTCAATCTAAATCTAAAAGTTTGTAATGTCTGGAGCTAGCCCCCATACACATTTTTCCTTTTCCTGTGTCTTCCATATTACTATTCAATTTTCTTTGTGTGTGTGTCCCCCTAAGATTCTTTTCTTTTCTATTCTTTTCTATTCTTTTCTTTCAAATATATACACCCCTAATTTCAGCTCTCTGTCCCTCTTTTTGGGAGGGGCAAAATTTTTGGCCCTGGGGTATCTGTCATATAGATTGTTATGGAGCTGCATAGTCCCACTGTGCTTTGATGTTACCTAGGCCTGAACGTAGCCTTGCCTTTCTGCTACTGGAGAAGGAGGCATGCGACCAGGGGTAACGGAACATGACGGAGGCTTCCCTATGCCTTGTCAGTTCCTGCCTGCTTTTTCAGCCTCCTGGAGCTGATCACAGCTAGGGTGAATAACTCTAGAGTCTAGAGTATCTGCTCTTTCTTATGCTTGGGAACCATTCGGACATATAGATCAGGGGAGCATAAAGGCGAACTTTAGTGTACCTGAGCTGTACCTGGTACAGTTTGGCTGGACTTAAGGATCTGGTATTTTGTTAGTGAACTGATGCTGCAGAGCTACATATGGAACACATTTCAAATTCACAGCACAAGAGCAAATATTCAGAAATGGGTGTTTTTGCAGGGTTTTAAGATTAAAAATAGCCAATTTTGCCAAATGTTTTGCAGAAGAGCAATATTTCAAGAGTGCAAAATCTCCTGAAATGAAATGAAATTTAACAAATGATCACTACTTTTATCCAGTTTTCATGTTCATGCACATATGCACCATATATTTTGAAATCCAAATCCATGAAGAATCTTCCTGCTGTTATGTTTGAGAATTTGCTAATTTTTTTATTTATTTGTATTCTGGGGCAGAATGATCTGATGTTTCCTTAAATTGAACTGCTTGTCTGACGCATAAATGATTTTTAAAAAATCTTTTCATTTTTTTAAATGGCATCTTGTGCAAATTAATTCAGGAGAAAAATGTATAATTTTTTGACCAAGCAGTTGCTGAATCTAGAACCAAGTAAGTGCTTGAGGGCTCAATTCTTTGTATAAGTAACCTTACAATGAAGAGCTTCAAAGAGAGAGATGGAAGTCTTACTTACCAGGAAAAAAAAAGGGGGGGGGGAATTGATCTTACCAACCTGCCAAATCTGATTATCGGCTACTTTCATTTAAGAGACTCTATTTTTATATGTTCTGAAATTTTCCTCTGTCTGAGAGGTTCTGTTGATCAGTATGAATAAAATCAATCCATACTGTGATCATCATTCCTGATTATATCTTGCGGAAGCAATATGAGCTAAACAGACACGTAGTGGGTAACTGAAAATTGCTTGGAAAGGAAATTTATGGGAAGAAAAAGCTTGGATGTAATTATGAGCATTATGACCAAAATGTAATAGTAATGAATAAAGCAGATGTGAAATAATGCTTATGTTTTCTGCCACCAGAGAACTTTTGCCATTTCCATTTCCCACTCCCACTTGTTAGAACATTTTTCATGAATAATAATAAAATGTGAGTAGGTCTGACTTTGGCCAAAACCTGTCCTGCAACCATCTGCAGATCTGGAGTATCATTCAGTTGCCTGACTTTGGCATAAAGGGGAGGTACTAAAGCATCTTTCCCTCCCATAACTGTAATGTCAGGACAGTGAGAGTCAAAGATATTTGAAGATCCATGGACTGTTTTTATTCATTTCAGGGGGCTGTCTGCAACAAAAATTGTACAAGAAAATGAGCAACTACACCATCAAAAGTGGCTGAATCTGCACTCTGACTGGAAGAATAAAAATGCATCCACGTTACCTGCCCTTCTAGTGAAAGGGTAAGGGACAGCTAGTGTGTGCTCCATATGTGCTTCAGAGAGGTGGATGGAACTATAGCAATGAAGGATGGTATTTCCATTAGTGAGTTTTGTGTTCTGAGTGCAGAAAGGTATCTGTGTTTGCGTTCACATAAACATACTTATGCATGACGTAATGTAAATTCCACAGTGAGGCTAATGTCTCTTACAACTTCACTCTCATTTTGGGTCCTCTTCATTGAATCTAATTTTCCGGTTGATTGTAATTTTGTAGACTGTAACTATCATCATAAGCTTTTAATCACAGAATCACAGCCTCCCTCTTTCCCTGTATCAGAGTGGTAACCGTGTTAGTCTGTATCCACAAAAAGAACGAGGAGTCCGGTGGCACCTTAAAGACTAATGTTTATTTGGGCATAAGCTTTCATGGGTAAAAAACCCCACTTCTTCAGATGCATGTCCTCTTTCCCTGCTGACTCGGGTCAGTGCTCCTACAAGCCCTCCGACAGTGGAGGCTTGTCCCTCAGGGAAGAAGACTGCAGACTCAATAGGCCAGCCTCACAAGGCAGGTAAATAGGGCAAGTGCAGGAGAGGTCAGACAAATGATGGAGAGACTCTGACAGACTCTTACAACAGCTCAAGCAAGTCTCTATTGACCAATAGGGAAGGTCCATAACAGACAAGAGGGCAAAGGCATCAGCAACACTCCCACCTTCCTTGCTAGGACTGATGTAGTCTGGACTTTGCAGAGACCACAGCTTCTAAACACCAGAAGTTAAAGTCCCCTGCAGAAGGTTTTCTCAGCAGCATCTTTTGTTTTGGACATCTTGGTGGATTCAGTAATGGACTCTGTTAAATTGGTGGTGGCTAATGTGAAAAACTTTTGGACAAAGAGAGCATCATCAGAGCCTACAAGTACTGACTGCAGCTGCTTTTTGCTGGTGTTGCTGGCTACATTTTTTTCTGTCCATTTCGTCCCTGCGGTTCCTTTTGTCCCCAAGCTCACCTGGCTGGGGAAAGGAGTGAGGCAGCCTGGGTCCCCAGAGAGGGGGCGTGTCTCCCCTGCAGAGTTCTGGGTTGTCGGTCCCTTTTGTGGAGGTACCAGAGCCTGTGCAGCCTCAACCCAGCTGAGTGAGCTCAGGACTAAAAGAGGTTATCTGCCTGTTAGGAAGGAGACTGAATAGTTTCAAAGAACAAATGGTTATTTATCACTTTGGACAGTGGAGTTCTAGAAACTTTCTACAAGTGCTATGCGAAGAGCCCAGAAAATATTCATCATACCATCCTTCAGGGGGAAATGGCACCTTTATATAATATGTAAAGTCTTCCTGACTGATATACTAATTAGGGCAACCTCATAAGGCGGCTGAGCCAGGGCTGTGATGACATTTCCGTAAATTGGGAGAAAAATCACATTGTCTCAACTCAGGAATTCATCTGAAACTACCATTGCTGGACAAAGCAAGCAGATCTATTGTAGACGCTTACCTAGCCAGTTGAGGAACACCACTGGAAAAGTTCACAGCACACTCAACCAGAGAAGTATCTATTACCTGGAAAGAAGGCTCCAAGGCTTCATATGAAGAGATTTGAAAGTGCAACTATTCAAATGTGCAAAGTTTTACTAGCTGGCGACAGTATTAATTTGAACCACAAAAGCGAGTAGCATCTTCATTCATCAGAAGAATATTGAATGAGGTAGTCCTCTTAAGTTACTTCTTCTTTCCTCTGTTCATCTATTGTGAATAGTTCCATAGTGTTTTGACATTCTTTCCCATTCATTTCCAGTTCATTTGTTCACCTACTTAAAGAAAAGTTCCCCATAATGGGGACTGGGAGACAGGACAATGCCTGAGACTGGAAAATTTGTTCTTACCTCTTTTCCTTTCTCATAACTGTCCCTGTTCACCAGCCTAATCTCTTCCAAGTGCTCGGGTCTAGAGTAAATACCAAGAACAAAGATCTCAGGATGTTGATCAAAGGGAGCATTTCTCTGACATATTACTAGTTTCTTAGAGTTATTATCAAGAATCTTATTAGCATTCTTTATCACAGGGGTAGGCAACCTATGGCGAGCTGATTTTCAGTGGCACTCACACTGCCCGGGGTCCTGGCCACCGGTCCAGGGGGGCTCTGCATTTTAATTTAATTTTAAATGAAGCTTTTTAAACATTTTAAAAACCTTATTTAGTTTACATACAACAATAGTTTAGTTATATATTATAGACTTATAGAAAGAGACCTTCTAAAAACGTTAAAATGTATTACTGGCATGTGAAACCTTAAATTAGAGTGAATAAATGAAGACTCGGCACACCACTTCTGAAAGGTTGACGACCCCTGGTATATCATTTTGAAAGTAGTCAGGTGGAAAGGGATGGAACATAGCCTCTGAGCCACTTCCCAAGGGTCTTGTACTGCCTCCAATGCAGGCTGGAGAAGAGGAAGCTCCCATAGTAAGGGATTTATAGATGGGACCATTCTAGAAATGAAATTAACGGGTAAGAACAAACTTTCCATTCTCAATTCAGAATCTTAGTAGACTGATTGAGGCAAGGTGTCAATTTCTAAGACCCTGCATGAAGATTCAGGCTTTTCTGCTGACTCATCCTTGCAAGCAGATTGGATGGGTCTCATTAGCACCAAACTAATAAGGGTGTGTCTGAACCATAGGACAAGAAGATGAGACACGGTCATGTGGAGGAAAAAACCCTATAAACAGCCAGCTCAGAAGGAAGCTTAGAATAAGGCTTATGTTTTATTATCCTTAAGTTATGAATAAAAGAGAAACTAGTAAGGGGGAATGAGTTTTGGATGCTAACCCTGTTTGTGTGGGTGCATACCAGGTATAGTGAATTATTTTTTGTCAAGGTCCAAATTTTTCAGTCAAGGCATAGTCAAGGTCCAGACTCCAGAGAAAATAATAACAATAATGATAATAAATTAATACAATGATTTCAGGGTTCATTCAAAAGCATCTGGCAGTCCGGATTTGGCCCGTGGTCAGCCTATTGATTACCTCTGGTATACTATGTTGAGAGTAGGGTAAGAACTATACATACTCAAAGGGACAAACTAGGATATAAAACTGAATACATGTGTTTATTTCTTCCTCTAATAAGTGTCTTTCTCTGGTTGGTCATGTATTAGGAATGGTTAAGGCAAATAGCTCTGTGACACCCAAAAAGAGAAATGTATTATTTACTGAATAAGTCCATTCTCTCTTCTAGACCTCTTGCAAGCTTAATATTAATAGCTTTCACAGAGAAGCACCAGACACCAGTTTAATGGACTGACAAGAACTTTGGCAAGAACTAACAAATGCTTCAATATTTCTGGAAAAAGATGTTTTGAAAGGATGAAAGCAGAGTGCAAGCTTTGCACACATTCATCTATATTTTGCTCTTTGGGGAGGATGGTTATTTGACCAGGAGACAGAACATTTTGGGGGGGGAAATCTATTCTCAGGGATATGACTAGTCTGATATTCTGCACTCCTTACATAGACAGAAATGCTTTAGGAGTTTCACACATGTAAGGAGAACAGAGTTACATTACTGAGACTGGCCAAGTGTCTGAAAATAGAATTTTGCAATCTGTGTTCAGACTAAAGTGGGATAGATTTTTACACCAATTTTTATACAACATACACTTCAGGCTACCCCATTAATTTCAACAGATTTGTAAGTCAGCTGAGTATTTGGCCCAGACATCACGGAAAGGAATAATGATTGTGTAAATGTATGGCCAGTCAGGTTTGAGCAATAATAATGTCTCCTCTTATTTTAAAAAAGTGTTTGCATGTTTTCCATGGGGGATATTTATCAACAGAACTACAAACAGTTCACTGTTGAGTTTTTCGTTGTAGGATTCTGAGCACAATATCCACCCTTCTCCCCCCATCTCCCATTCTCAAGTTTGAGTTATCTGTTACATTTAATAGCTAGCTAGAAAGTGGTAACCATAATTAAGAAACCATTGAAATATTTAAGTATTATGGTCCAAATTCAGTGTTTGGTGTAAGCTGGTACAACCAACCTGATTGCCTTCTATGATGAGATAACTGGCTCTGTGGATATGGGGAAAGCAGTGGACGTGATATATCTTGACTTTAGCAAAGCTTTTGATACGGTCTCCCACAGTATTCTTGCCAGCAAGTTAAAAAAGTATGGAATGCATGAATGGACTATAAGGTGGATAGAAAGCTGGCTAGATTGTCGGGCTCAACAGGTAGTGATCAACAGCTCGATGTCTAGTTGGCAGCCGGTATCAAGGGGAGTGCCCCAGGGCTTGGTCCTGGGGCTGGTTTTGTTCAACATCTTCATTAATGATCTGGATGATGGGATGGATTGCATCCTCAGCAAGTTTGCAGATGACACTAAGCTGGGGGAAGAGGTAGATACACTGAAGGGTAGGGATAGGGTCCAGAGTGACCTAGACCAATTGGAGGACTGGGCCAAAAGAAATCTGATGAGGTTCAACAAGGACAAGTGCAGAGTCCTGCACTTAGGACGGAAGAATCCCATGCACCGCTACAGGCTGGGGACCGACTGGCTAAGCAGCAGTTCTGCAGAAAAGACCTGGGGATTACAGGGGGGCTGGGGCAGATGACTTACAAGGAGAGGCTGAGGAAAATGGGCTTTTTTAGTCTGCAGAAGAGAAGAGTGAGGGGGGATTTGATATCAGCCTTCAACTACCTGAAGGGGGGTTCCAAAGAGGCTGGAGCTAGGCTGTTATAAGTGGTGGCAGATGACAGAACAAAGAGCAATGGTCTCAAGTTGCAGTAGGGGAGGTCGAGGTTGGATATTAGGAAACACTATTTCACTAGGAGGGTGGTGAAGCATTGGAATGGGTTACCTAGGTAGGTGGTAGAATCTCCATCCTTAGAGGTTTTTAAGGCCTGGCTTGACAAAGCCCTGGCTGGGATGATTTAGTTGGTGTTGGTCCTGCTTTGATCGGGGGTTGGACTAGATGACCTCCTGAGGTCTCTTCCAACCCTAATCTTCTATGATTCTAACTCCATTCATGTCACTGGGGTTATGCCAGTTTACTTCAGAGCTGGATTTATTCATGTATTCATCCATTATGGCCAGCTAGATGTCTTCCATCTTTCCAGTGATATATAGAATTTAGTTCCTGACCACTGGTGGCTTGAGTAGGGCCCATGGCATTTTTCAACAGAAGTGTTAATTCCAGTAGCCTAGCCACATTCCCAGTTGAATTACAAAAAAATGTGTTTATGTAAAAAAAAAAAAAATTCTTAAATTTTTAAATAGTTGCAAGGGAATTTATTATTTTGTCTTACACCATAGTGTAATATTGGTTTGCCTGGTATACGCCAGTGGTTTTCAACCTTTTTTCATTTGTAGACTCCTAAACATTTCAAATGGAGGTGCAGACCCCTTTGGAAATTCCCAGGGGTCCACAGACCACAGGTTGAAAACCACTAGTATACAGTATTTTACTCTATACAGTATTTTGTGTATAAGTTTTAATTAGACTCAGATTTTAAGGTCAAAAGGGACCATCATGATCATATAGTCTGACCTCTTGCACATCACAGGCCACAGACTTTCACCTACTCATTCTTGTAATAGACTTCTGGCTCAGTTACTGAAGTCCTCAAATCTTGATTTAAAGACTTGATGTTACAGAGAATCCACGGTTTCCTCTAGTTCAAACCAGCAAGTGACAGTAAGTTTGTAAAATACTTTGTGATCCTTCTGGATGAAAAGCACAATATAAATATAAGTTAGTGTACTTCATTCCTTTTTTGCTCTATCTAGTAATACAGATAAAGAAGTGTTATTTACTCCTCACAACACAAGAACTAGGGGTCACCAAATGAAATTAATAGGCAGCCGGTTTAAAACAAGCAAAAGGAAGTATTTCTTCACACAATACACAGTCAACCTGTAGAACTCTTTGCCAGAGGATGTTGTCAAGGCAAAGACTATAACAGGGTTCAAAAAAGAACTAGATAAATTCATGGAGGATAGGTCCATCAATGGCTCTTAGCTAGGATGGGCAGAGATGGTGTCCCTAGCCTCTGTTTTCTAGAAGCTGGGAATGAGCGACAGGGAATGGATCAGATGATGATTACCTATTCTGTTCATTCCCTCTGGGGCTCCTGGCATTGGCCACTGTTGGAAGACAGGATACTGGGCTAGATGGACCTTTGTTCTGACCCGTATGGCTGTTCTTATGTACAATGCAATGTTATAACAGCGTGTAATACTGCCTCTTAGAACACTGGACACATTTATCATTCTTTCAGTACAAGGATTTTTCCTGCAGTCTGACCTGTATTTGATTTTTCTTTAATTTCCATATGTGCCCACATTCCTGATATCTCTGCTGGCCTGAAAATTATATGGGTTGATATAAAAGAGAAAAACAAATTTGATTTATGTTTTAATATGGTTTTGGTTGAGAACTTGTCCAGATTTTAAGTGGTATTGCCACTGAAATCTAAGAAAGCCTCTCATAATATTTTTTTGCACTAGTATATTGTGCTCATCAATCCTTCAAGACACATAGAAAAAAACTTAAAAACATGGATAACAATAATTTGGCCTTCCATTCTTAGCAAATCCATACGTATAGTAAATAAATATTGAGATTTTCATAGCAATTGATGTCTTGTTCATATTTCATCTTATTCAAGATGTCTCACTTATTAACTGGGTTTAATGGTTTGCAGGCACTGTCAGTCATGCACATGAATAACTTGACTCATAGTGTGAGTAATCCCATTGAAGTCAGTGGACCTTGGACTATGTGAGGCAAGGAGGCAAATGAACTGTAGAATCCATACAACTGGTAGGAAAATGATTCTCTCCCTCCCAAAAACTTTCAACAAAAATGTGAACTCTTCACATGCATAAATGTTTCCCTTGGAAACTTTCTGGGTTTTCATCAAAAAGACCAAAATTCTTTTGGCAAAAAATTCTGTTTAAACTAAAAGCCATTTTCTATCAAGTAAGTGTCAACGAAAGTCTTTCACCTACCTGGAAGAACCAAGAGAACTTCACAGAGATTTATTTGCCTTCAGAATTTAGGAATTATCAGATAGTGCCTCTCAGCTGTTGGGTTAATTAATAAAGAAAGAGGTAGTCTCTAAGATATGCAGCACTCAATTCATAAAGGCTTTATATAGATCTAAAATAACACCTTTAACTGCCTTCAGAAACAAACTGGAAGCCAGTGCAATTTCTGGTGCCCCAATATAATACTCCCGGTGTTTCATTGTATCATGGATTGATTTTGCTGTGTTTAAACAAATAATCCAATTGCTTTTATATTGGGCCGATATAATATGATATGTAAATTGTCAATAATATGTTTTTCATGTTGTTGTTTCAACACTTAGGCAGTCATGTCAAAGCAGAAGTAAAGTGTCCCTTCTCTGTAGCAAAAAAGGTAAGAGAAAAACATATAATTCCTGGAACAACATATGAAGAGCATTTTATTTGGACTCTTAAGCATGTGTCTTTGATATGTTGAAATATACTTTCTCAAAAACAAATCTTTAATGTGTATTTCCCTTTGAAATCTGATATACTTTTGTTCACCTATTAGTTTCCCTTTTTTTTTTCACTACATCCAATGTTATCAGCTTTCCCCCCCTTTTGATGATGAGATTGTCCATTGTATTGGACTAAGGCTGGCTCCTGCCCCCACAAAATTAATTGGGAGTCTTACAGTTAATTTCAAAGGGAGCAGGCTTAGTCCATAATTGGTATGATGATATAGTTACAAGTACTGCGTGTTCTATAGTGCTTCTTAGGAAGACTCTCTCAGGCTTCTGTGGAAATTTGCCTGAATAAAGACATGAAGATTTGGTCCATAGAATCTAATGAGAAAGGGTCAGACTGAGATATTAGTGAGTCTGGAGTAAGTTCACTGACTTTATTGGATTTACTCTGGACTGACTGAAAACAGAATCTGGCCCAGAAATTATAGCACTAACTGTTTGCACTGGTAGCATCATCTTTCCAATGTCTTGCAAATGGAACCAGAACCAAAGGATGACTTCCTGGTTTGCCCTAATCTTGTCAATATCCGTTTTAATTATACTAAACTTTTGTTGCTGTTGGGAACATCTTTTGCTACCACTATATAGTAAGTAAGCTCCTGATGTGGTATGTGATCCATTTGTAGCTGTGACTGTCAAGGGGATAGGGAAATTTAAAGGAGAAAACTCCAGATTAAATCTAAATGCACAGTGGATTGTGCAAGTTTAAGTGGTTTGAAAATACAGCAATTCTTCAGATGGATGTCAGGTTCTACAAAACGGAAAAGCTTTCTTGAAGAACATTTTGAATAAATATATTAGCCTGATGAGACAGATTAATCATAAAGCATGACCTAGATCCAGGAAACTACTCAAAGTTTACTATTACCAGAAAAGTCATCTGGTAGGACTCTGTAAGGTTGTTTTCCTCTTACATGTAGTACATATAGAGGACTTTAAAGCAACACAAAAGTCCTTGTCCCCAGAAATTATTTGAGGGAACGTGCTAAGAATTTAATAGTTACAAATCAACATTGTACTAATTTATTTCTTCATCACTAAATTCCAACATATATGCAAAAACAGGATATCCTCTCCTGGGGAAGGATTCCAGAAACTGATACTATGTCAGCCAATTCTCTAAATTGGGCAGTAATAAAACAAGAGATTTATAATAGCCTGTCACATTGCAATCCCAGAATTAAAAAGGAGAACTAAAAGAACATATTTTTAAAAGGTGTATAGCTGACCAGTAAGTTGATAGAAAACTTCTTGTCAGTGAAATTTATAACAATATGCTACAGTTTCCAAGGGAAGTGGTGGATATTTAAAACTAGAATGGACAGAGCACTAAAATAGGCATTGTAAAAAAATAAATCAGCACTGGCAAGCTATGTATGAGCAAATAGCTATTTTCCATTGGAAATTTCCATGAGTAAAGAAAGTAGTATCTATCCTGCAGCTAGATGCACATCCCACGCTTGGGCTTCTGGGCCTGGGCACAGGCTTGACAATGTGCTACTCCAGTGCCAGTTCTGGTGTGTAGGCCAGGGTAGCAGCAACATGCTGGTGATTGACAGGTGATTCACTGGTATACAAATAACCCCCCTGCCCAAGGCTAGGTCGGTAGCTCTACTTCTCAGAGAAAGCCAAACTCTTCCAACTTAGTCTGGCTTTTTTTTTTTCTCCCCCATTTGTCTTATTTGGGACCTAAATAGGTCAAATTAATCTCTGGGCTCAGTCCACTGAAGTGAAAGGAGGGATGAATTTGGCTCATTGTATATGGAATTCAAACACAGTGAGTTGAGTTTTTATAAATTCTTCCCATAAGTGCAACACAATTTCATAAGTTTATAATTTCATTCCGTATAGAGAAACCCCCTTGCAATACTTTTTTTCAGAGCAGATTTCGAGAACATTCTGTGCACATTGAATTTTGTGGCAGTAAATAACACACTGTATCATACATTTCTTGCTAGATTGTGGCCGTCGCCCTGCAGCTCGCATGAGCAAGAGGATCCTTGGCGGCAGGACTAGTCGTCCAGGACGGTGGCCGTGGCAGTGCTCTCTGCAGAGTGAACCAAGTGGGCACATATGTGGCTGTGTTTTGATTGCAAACAAATGGGTTTTGACGGTAGCACACTGCTTTGAGGGGTGAGCAGAGCTGAGACAGTTTTACTGTTGACCTACAAATGGCTAGTTAGACAAATAACTTCCACGTAAAAATATATGAAAAAAAAAATCAGCAGGTGATCTTGTCAAAACAACAAATCTCTTTTTAGAGACTAAAGAGACAATGAATATTATTAAATGATTTCAGCTGAGGGTTTGACTAGTTTTAATATTCACTTTGATACCTAAAGATGATGAAGGCTTTGACTTTTAGCTAGGAAATTCATAAAAAACTATCCCTTTCTTTTGTGATATTTTACTAATGTGTCACATATAACTATAGATTAATAAATCATCTCACTGAGAGCCAGAATAAAAATAACACAAGAATACGGGGACAGTGATAGCTGTCGAAGACATCATTGCAAAAGTTGTTTCCTACCAGCAGCCAACTATAGTTAACTGTCTCCACTGACTAGGTTTACTGGTTTATGCATCAGTATCAACCTGTGCATGTGATTTCACACAATGTGCCTTCAGAGATTCCTTCTGAGGTTGTAGAATAATATATCTGATGCAGTGCAAAATTAGGTGTCATTCTTGGATCATGTCTGAATGCCCTTTTATGGGCAAGTACAAACAACTTGCTAACAGCTTACTCAGTTTTCACTTGTAGACCCTTGCATACTTGCTACAGAAGCACGCGTTGCAAGGTGGGGTGCATATTTGGAAGAGATGATGATTTAGGATTTATGGTCCCTTACTTAGCAAAAGGAAAGCATCCAGCTCTCTGAAGCTCACACCTTGTGCTACATAATTTTGCAAAATCTCAGAGTACATATCCTTTTAGTTCACTTTGACAGCTCTAGCAGGCTAACAGCAGAGTGGCTGAACAAACACATATAGGAATGCCCATATTGGGTCAGACCGTAGCAGCCAGTACTTCCTCTGTTAGTGGTCAGTACCAGCTGCAAGAGGAAAATGCAAGAAACCCCATAGTGGACAGTTATAGAACAACTTGCCCCCAGAGGAACCTTCCTCCTGTGTAGTTAGAAGTTGGTTTATGATCTTAAATGTGAATGTTTGTATCCCTTCCAAATCCAGTAAGTAGCCAGAGGTCAAAATTTCTATGATGCATTTGAAATAATGTCTTGGTCAGAAGAATTTGCTGCTTTTAAAGACAGTTCACATAAAGGGTACAGAAAAGAAGACACAAGAGCTGAAGTTGTCATCCTAGCCCTCCACTGGTTTGGACTGAATAGACAGTCAAGGAACTTTCACTGCAGCTGTGGAAAAGAACAGATCTCTTGAAGTAGGGACACCTCCTTCATCCTGACCTGAACCATCTAGTTAACAGCCTGCACATCAGAAGAGAAATGTAGTTCAGCAGGAATTCTCTGTCGCCTCATTGATACATTTTGGTATCTAGGCAGAACTTAACCAGAAAATTTCAATCATTGATGTGGTCAAGTTTCATTTCTGGTACGAAGGGAAACAGTAAGCTCCCTCTGTACAGTGCCCAACACAATGCCACCTTGGCCTCTAATTAATGCAATTAATAATCCCAAAGTTCTGGCGATCTTAGCTTCATTAGAGTTTCTGCTGGATGGCTGGTCAAAATCCTGCAACCAAGCACCATGAAAAGTTGGTATCAGTGCTAGTGGCATTCTTTATACAGATGTATCTGACTCTACAACTTAAGTATCATTAGGCATCAAGATTGATCAGCCTGGCCAGACTAGACAAACCTGTGGTTGGCCTTTCTTGTTTTGTTCCAAGCTTCCACACTTCTTTGAAAGGATGCAGCATACATGTGCAGTCCTAGAGATCTAAAGACATCTCGGGGATACACACACCAGGCATATCCTGTTCTTCTCATTTACTCTAAATGCCAGGGTCTGAGGGCTTCATAGTTGCTATGGGCAAGATGTTAAAATCCTGAGCCAGTTGTTGTGCTAGCCATCTGGGAAACCATGGATGGAGGGCATCAAGGCTGCCCTTTACATGGGTCCTAGTGGCACTGTGGAAAGAAAGCATCTCATTTACACAGTAGGTTTCCATTCCTCTGTAGCGACATCCTTTATTAGAAAGTTGCTGCTGGATTGGTTCCTAAACAAATTACAAAGCTGTGCTTTTATATAGAGGGAAATTCTATTTCTGCCTATTCTGCTGTAACAGTAATTAAAATTCCTCTTTCCACTTCTCCCATTTCTGTGATTCACTGCTTGCTAGTCCCCATTGCAGATGAATGAGGAAAGAAGCTATGCAGCACAATGAGAAATTTCTTACCTGATACATTTTTTTTCTGTTAGTAGCTTCTCTTCTCATACAACCCACTCTGGAAGACCAGAATGTAACTTCTAACTTACAGTAAATTGATTTTTTTTCCATTAAAGGGAGACAAACACTAGTCAACAGAATTTCCTCTTAATGCTGTTTATCGGTTGCTGGACTCTTTCTATAGTTTTGGAAGAACTTCTTTGGTAAGCTGAGTTGAAGGGCGGGGCTTCTTCCTAGAGCCCTCAGCAACAATATTGCACCATTTAGAACTTGACAGTTGAGAGGTATTACCCGTTAATGATGAGTGAGGAAAGAAGCTGCTTGGGGAAGTTTTCTTTCTAGAGCACTTAGACTTTTTGAAGTCGTTCATTTGTCCCTGGATAGATCTATATATTGCATCAGTGTATACCTAGAATGTTTCCTTTAAAAGAACACTCTGTGTCCCAGAATGGATCCCAAATGCCGGCCATTTGAAATTGCTGGGATGAAAAGGTTTGTAAATTTCTACACCGATATCTTGTTTGAATCTGTCACTGTGAAATTACAAGAAATAGGTTATGCTCACTCTTCTGACCCTATAGTGGCACCAAACTATAAATGCGAGGTCTTATGTTGTTAAATCGTTTTAAAAGTATACTTTCATAAATTGGAGGGCCCCGTCTGTTTCCTTATCTGTTTGACATTATGATGTTATATTGTGGATTAAGATGGTCTCTGGAAAATTATTTTAAATTGTGCAAAAAAAAAAAAAAAAAAAAAGGGGGCAATTAAAGAGGAATTTTAAAGTGATCTTAACAGATAATATATTTTTATCCTGAGACTTATTAGTTAGAGGCATTTTGGCAAAGACAGTCAGCCAGCATGCAGTGACTATGTGTATACAAGTGTTACAGCCACTCGCAGAGAGCATTACAGCAAACGTGCTTTCAGATACTCATAGACAATAGCGATGAGACTTCATAAAGCATCTAGTCCATGTTCTTGCCATTGCTAGTGTTTCCTCATTGTGTACCCTAGGGTTTTGTCGAGTCTATTTTGCAATAAATCCCATGAAAACGCCTAAGATCAATTTAAACTTTAAAGGTTTCTTTTCTGTTGGAGAATATATTCATGTTTTGACTTTTCATTGCCCATGGCTCTGCATTTTCAAAATCCTTCCTTGCTTTGTTCCCACAAGACACAGTAAGACATAAATATGCCTTGTGGTTTGTCATCATACAGAAAGCCATGGTCTTGTCATGGGGACAAAAAAAGATAGAGTCTGAAATGTCAGCAATGGCATGTTACATTATTTTAATAAAAAAAATTATGCAATCAGAAAACCACAATGCTGAGAAAGAGCTGTACTTTTGCATTTTCAAAGCTTCTTTCTGCCGCAGTCTCTATAAAGGCAGTCAAGCTTTACAAAACCATGTTCAACCAGCTATATAAATACTGAATGCTTCCTTTTTTTTTTAAAGCCACAGGGAAGTCAGAGAACCTGTGACTTCCCACTAGCTCTCATCATGTGATTTAATACTCTTAGCCTCTAATACAGCCCACATTTTAACGTGGCAGTTCGCATGCAGCTCCACTGATGTTGGTTCAGTCCTCTCGACACTATTACTTCCCCTTCCTCAACTGCAAAAATCCACAAATTTCAGTAATGATGGCTACAATTTTTAAAAAATACAATCATGGAAACGTAGTCTTAGGCAGTCATGCCTAAATGTCAAATTGACATGTGATCTTCAACCTTCGGTTGCTGACACTTGACATCTTGGGGCCCAACACCTAAGGCTGGAGCGACCAAACTTTCATAATTTCCACATAGAGCAAAGTGATGTGATGATTTTTTTGGTACTAGCTGGTGGCTGAATACAAGGACAGCTCTCTCGTAAGAGCTGCAAAGTTAAATTCAGAGTTGCTTGAGTAGCACATAGAAATCAATTGCTTAGTGACAAAGCAAGACAGAGGCAAAAGACTACATTAGTGGATTTCCAGGCCCTGCCCTAATTATACTGAGCATCTTGACGGCAATAGAAATTGAGGGCACTTGGCACGTTACAGGAGCCTGGAAGGACCAGCCTCCATCAAAGTTAAAATATATACAGCCTCTTCTTAAAAATAATAGGAGACCTCAGGGATGGGGCACAGCAATTTGATCTAAGTTATGTTCTAATGTGGTGCTTCATGTTCAAAACAGTGAGGAAAGAGTGAATTCATGAATGTTTGAGCACTGAGGCCTAGATTCACATGGGGGACTTAGGCATAAGTTTTTACTCGTGGGTATGTGCAAATCCAGCCATGGCCACCCGGGGGGGGGAGGGGGGGGCAAGTGGGGCAATTTGCCCTAGGCCCCACAGGGGCCCCCACGAGAATATAGTATTCTCTAGTATTGCAACTTTTTTTTATGGAAGGGGCCCCCAAAATTGCTTTGCCCCAGGCCCCCTGATTCTAGCTAAGGCGCAGTGGAATTCACAAAACTTGACGTTCTGCAGGCTCACTCTCCTGAAGTCCCCTGGTGAATCTAGCCCTGTATTCCTTGGGTGGAAAATTTGAAGGAAAGAAAGTATTATATTGTGGTTTTGGTAAGATCTTAATTTTTAGTGTAACCTCTTAAAGTAATATTTCTGTTAGTTATATAGTACCACTTGTGCGTTCAGTGCATTGCAGAAAGGTATCCAGAAGTCCTCAATTATACAACTGTGTATAAAAGAACTATAGGAGAAAATTTACATTTCCCCCCCTCTCTTATAAAGGAGAGAAAATGCTGCAGTCTGGAAAGTGGTGTTTGGTATAAACAATCTGGATCATCCATCAATCTTCATGCAGACCCGACTGGTGAAGACTATTATCTTGCATCCACGCTATAACAGAGCAGTAGTTGACTATGATATCAGCATTGTAGAACTAAATGAAGATATCAACGAGACAAGTTATGTAAGGCCAGTCTGCTTACCCAGCAGGGAGCAGTTGGTTGAGCCAGATACCTACTGCTACATCACAGGCTGGGGACACATGGGCAACAAAAGTAAGATGAATGCTTTCCAGACTCTTTAGAGCAATCTAACCGCCTACTAACCAGATCAACTACTTGGCTCCAATTGCAAACCACTGTGTCTTCCTCTAGTTATATACTTGTGCCTTATTAGGCCACTTGTACATAATCTGTATGTATTCACAAAAGGCAATACCTGTGGCTAGAGCTTAGCTTGTCAAAATCAGGAGCCTAAAGTTAGGCTGTTAAATACATATTCCAGCAGCTACATACATGATGTGATTTTTAAGAGTACTGCCCATCCAGGAGCTTCTACTGAGGAAATAACCTGAAAATCCTGGCTATGCAGATGCTCCCCGACTTGCGCAAGCGTTCCGTTCCAGAATGCCTTGCGTAACTCGGAAACGTATACCCGACCATTACGCAAAAAAACCCTCTTATTTCAAGTTTACGGAACTTTTTCCGTAAGTGCGGATTTGCGTAAGTCGGGTTTGCGTAACCTGGGGAGGCGTCTGTAGTCTGTTACTTGATTAAGCTGCATTTGAAGCTATATTGAGAGAGTGTCAAATGATCAGAGGGTGATAATGTTGTTAGCTGTGTGCAAAGCTTCAGGCTCAAATCTTGGCTTGTTGCTTGACTAACCAAGATTTTTTTTTTTTTTTTAACCAAAACTCTCTATAGCATGGTGTGGCCTTGTGCCACTATTTACCCCACCTCCCACCTAATCCCCGGGTGCCTGTTTTCTGCCCAGAAAGGTTTTTGTTAATTGTAAGGGCCAGGGTCCCATGACACAGAGCATAGGGGAAATGTTGTGGCTGCCCTGGCTCTTAAGTACCAGTGATGTGGAAATATTTCTCTTTTTTTATTTATTGTAATCATTAGCAGGGGAAGGAGGTAAGCCCTGAACTCTGGAGAATAGGAACAATGACTTAAATGCCACTGACTGGTGTAGTCTGCTAACAAACAACAAATCCATTCTTTCTGCATACACCTAGTCTAAAGGTAGCAGACCTAATGATGCAGTGATGATCTTTCATACCATTGGACAATGGCAAAACGTTGTTTTGTTGTTTTTTTTGCTGGCCAGAGCTGTCATGTTGTCAATGATGTCACTTTCAAAGTTACAGGTTACTAAGCACCATAAAACAAAGGTGTTCATCTTGATTGCATAGTGGTTAGTACTTTGTACTCTAGGTTTAACAGTTTTCCTTCACCTTTGAGTTTCGGCAGAGATTTACAGCAGGGAACAAGCCTGCATTGGCCCCTTCGGAAAAGGATGAATGGTGTGATAGGTCTTGCTCTCCTCTGATATGCACTCTGAGGCTCATCTACACAGGCATTTAGTTCATGGCAAGTCTAGCTCGCCACACACTAAGTGGCTGTGTGGATCATGCTGCTATGCACTAAATGTTTCCTAGTGCACTTTCAGCAGCTCCTGAGCACTAGAGAACTTTTAGTGTGTAGGAGAAGGGTGCACACAGCCCATGTGTGCAGGCTAGAGTCACACCCCTGCTTGCCATGAACTAAGCCCTCACGTAGACGCCCCCAGAGTAACGCCATCAGCTTTGATGGGTTTATTATACCAAGTATGAGGGTGACAGTGTTGTTGTGGACATGGCTTTTGAGCTCCAAGTATATGCTCCCTAATTATGCCTTCTTCCCAACCCCCATTCTCAAAAATCCCATAACATGTCTTTTAAAGGCTCCCTTCCCAGTCTGTCAACTTGGTCTGATTTAGCGGGAGGCACAATATAAAATGCTTACCCACTCTGGAATAGAAGGTGGGCCAATCTCCACCTGTATTCCACTGTCCTGTGAGCTTGAGAAATGTGAATCCTTACTTGTGGGAGTATATGAAACTACCCCCACGCCCCACGCCTTCCATGGTGGTCTGTACTGGTGGGGATGGGGGAAAGAAGCTTTTCTTCTTATATTAAATACATGGTTAAAGCTAATTTTATTATCATTACTATTTTTAAGTTTAGCCTATTATAGTAGAAAAGAATGTTGCAATCTCAGCTAGCAATGAATATAAGTATTTCTATACATTACAGTGCATACTTTAATACAGATTTTTTTTCAGTGCCTTTTAAACTTCAAGAAGGAGAAGTTCGTATTATTTCCCTAGAACAATGCCAGTCATACTTTGACATGAAGACCATCACCAGCAGGATGTTATGTGCAGGGTATGAGTCTGGAACTGTGGACTCTTGCATGGTAGGCCTTTTTCTGAGTAGAAACATGAAGCAGATTTTTTAAAATAAAAGTCTAAGCACCTATGGTATTTCAATAGGCACTAGAGGTTAGTTCTGATACAGAGATAACATTAATTTTCATAGTGCTTATTTAGAAATGGACTCAAACATTTTGACCCATTATTTATTTCTATTGGTACACTCAACTTTGAAATGGATTATGATTGTCTGCAAGTTTGTCACAGAGTCCGTGACCGCCGAAGTGGCTGGTGCGCCTGGCCCCTGCCCCAGTTGCATCAGCAGAGTTTAGGTATGGTAGGAGGTGGGAGGCAGGCAGGCTCTGGGAAGCAGCAACATGCCCCTCACTCAGCTCCTAGGCAGAGGTGTGACTAAGCAGTTCTGCATGCTGCCTCCACCTGCAGGCATTGCCCCTACAGATCTCATTGGCTGCGGTTCCTGGCCAATGGGAGCTGCGAAGCCAGCACACTGGGCAGAGTCAGCGTGTGGAGCTGCCTGGCCACACCTCCACCTAGGAGCTGAGTGAGGGGGATGTCTCTGCTTCTGGCGAGGCGTGGAGCTAGGTCGGGAGCCTGCCAGCCCCACCATTTCCCCCCAGGCACACAGCCACCCCATGCCCCTCCCCCAGTACAGGTCCTGGGTTGCACGCTGGCACCTGCCTCCCCGGGCCACCCCTTCCCAGATTGAGTCAGGGCTACATAGTAGAAGTCATGGACAGGTCACGGGCCATGAATTTTTGTTTAGTCAGTAAAAGTCATGGACAAGTCATGGGCAGTAAACTAAAACATATGATCTACTGTTTAAAGCCTCTAAATAGTAGTGTGTGTTAAGTAGTAGGCTGATTTTTTTTTCTTTAGTTGGTGTGAATATTTATTTTTTTGTATGAACATACCAGCCAACCAAACCTTATTGACATTGTTTCAAAATATTAGAGGTCCAGTTTGTATGTTGTTGTATAGATAAGCTGAAACCTATTTTTACAGCTGCATTAATCATGAAAAGCAGATTTAATAGAAACTCAGATATAGCTTGAGCCATAATGGCATTGGCTGTAACATCCACAGGTTGTGTTTTTCCCTCTCCCATTACAGGGCGACAGTGGAGGACCTCTCGTTTGTGAGCAGCCTGCAGGACGCTGGACATTGTTTGGTTTAACCTCATGGGGCTCCGTCTGCTTTTCCAAAGTTTTGGGACCTGGAGTTTATAGCAACGTGTCACACTTCATTGAATGGATTGAAAGACAAATATACATTCACACCTTTCTACTAAACTAATACCAGAAGGGTAGTGTTGTGCTGACATACAAGAGGCAAAGATCAATGGCCTTTGAACATTGAAGATTGTGCAATCAAGAAACTTAAGAGGAAGTTACAAGCTCTGTGTTGTTGATGGGGAGGTATGGAAAATGCAGCATAAATAAATTGATTAAACTCTCTGCCCCTGGAGATACGTTGGGGCAGAACACTATTTTTGTAATCCTTTTGACTTTTCCTTTAGCTCTATTGTGTGCATTCCAAGCACAACACAAGGCTTAAAGGAAGAATCAGCCAATCTTCTGCCTTTCAGACATTTAAAATAAGCTGTAGCACAGACTTAGTAAAAACTATAAAAGTTTTGGGAAAAATAAACAGTAGCACACAGAGTTTTAGCCCACAATTCTTGCAGTGAAGAATAAAATCACTACATTCTCAAAGATGACACTGAGGTCTATATTAAAATTAGCCCTTCTGCTACCTCGAGTTTGCTCCCATGTTAGCATAGCAGGGCCTTGTCAAAAATACAACCAGCATGGGAGAATGTGTAGTTCTTTGAGACAACTGATAAGTGGAAGTTTTAGATACTGTCACACTACAATTAAGTCACATAGTTCAGACTACTGTTAAGTGAAAGATTTACCTCTAAAATTCAGTACCTTCTGTTTTGATTAACCTAATGTAACCTGTACCAGATAGTGTCCTATAGAAATAGTCACTGTATTCATAAAAGTAGTTTAAAAGTCCAAAACACTATTAATATTTAAGTCACTGTTGCATTGCAGTTTCACCTAGTGACATGACAGTATGTTTCATTGTATATTATGGGCTTAGGGGATGGCAAAATAACTCTCCCCGACCTCTAAATAATACAGCTGTGTCCAAATTTCTCTAGTTCAGGGCTGCATCTAACTCATGCACGATAAAATAGATTGTCGACATCCTAATCTCAAATGCAAAAAGGTGTGGAAATTACAACTTCCAGTAGCCCAGGCTCCATCTTTCTCCGTAGGACCAGGTCCTCAGCTGGTGTAATCTGGTATAGCTCAGTTAAAGTCAAAGGAACCATATTGATATAAACCATCTGAAGCTCTGGCCCTTAATAGAGTGGAGCTGGGTTCTGAAATACAGGATTTTTAGGAAGTTTTGTTTTCAGTATTAGGAAAAAAATTGAAAAGATGCTGTCATAAAATGAACAGCCTCTCCTGCCGTCTCTGTTCACCAAAAGATGTACTTAAAGTTGGCTTTGATTTTATTGTAAAGCACTGGACCACTTAAAGCCATTCTATGTATATGTAAGCACTGCCAAGAAATAATATTTAAGGTAATTTCTTATTTTCTCATTGATTACTTGGGCCTCAGCCTACCACCAGTTTTCTAGCAGAACTCCCCAGTAAAATAAATGATTTCTGCTTAAAAGCCGGTGGCACCATATAGCCTATTGAATATAATCACCTTTGTTAGGAAAGGATGCATCCCAAGTGGCATTAGAAAGGAGTAGTAGTTTTTTTTTCCAAATAATTTCTGCCACAACATTCCATGTAAAGATGATATTTGTAATTTTATAAATGTATTTTTATACTGCTTTCCCCCCCTCTATATGTGCACATAATAGTGTATGTAGGTTTTAAAGAGTCAAACTTACTCCCTCCTTCCAATGTATTAGTCCTTTCCTGTGTATTGTCATTTTTCTGACAATCAGAATTATCTAACAATTGTATCCCCATTTTAAGGTGATAAAAACACATTTGTTGTTTCACTTCTATCACAGCTACAGCTCCACCTGGAATTAACATTGCACCAACTAGGCAGATGTGTTTATTTCTACCCCTATTAAACAAATATGTACAACAATTTTCCAATAATTTCTGTGATCTAAAATAAACATGTTTTTATTCTGGCCAGAGACTCAGTTCAAATGGAAGGAGTTAGAGGCAAGGCTATACCTCTACTCTCTTGTGATTGTGTGTTTCAAATAGCCCTGAAACCATATTGGCATACATGTGCCAAGCTGCTTACTGTACCACTGCTAGCCTCTTCTTAGCACAGTATCAGTCTGTTCAGGTTCTGTCTCTACAACTTACCCATATTTCTCATGGGTGTTACCAATAAAGAATATTAATAGGAAGATGAAGAAGTGTGACTGCTTACAAATATTTTGGATTAAATTACATTTTTGTAGTGGGAAATTTAAAAAAACCTACTAAGCCATATAACCTTCTCTGAATATCTTTAGATCAGTATTTCTCCAATGACATTATTTCAAAATGATTAGCATTGGTATGGACAAACAATAGGCAGAGTCTCAGCACTATGTAAATGTGCAGAGAGCAAAATATCAGTTGTAATGTAACTAGAACTAGACAGAAAGATTACATGAAGCCTTCCATCCCCTGTATGTTACAGTTGTACTTTCACAATGACTTTGAATCAACTTATATGACAGCCTGAGGCTGTTAGTGCATTTTTACTGAAAATGATTATTTTCCACTTTGTAGAAGAACACAAAGTTAAAGTTAATGCTTCAGTGTAACTAACCTTTCAACTTCACACTAATGTCTAAGACACATACATCATAGATGGAGTGAGAACATCTGACTAGCAAATCGGCCTCATTAACACCCTCTGTGTTTTTCCCCCAGCTTTAATGTCAAGCCCCTTGTCATGGAGTGGCCCTTCCAGTTCCCAGGTGCCCTCTGGTGGGCTCACAGCAGCTCTGCAAGCAGTCCCTCACCTCCATTTCTCCTCTTGGTGCCTCGAACTCAAAAAGAGGTTTTCATAAGTCCAGTAACATAAACCAGATCCTCAGGAAGGCTGTTAACTTAAAGTTCAAAATCAAACACAATCTTCCTTCCAGCGGCAATCTGGACACAGATCCAAACTCCCCTGTGTCTCAGGGTCTTCCCTGCTATATAGCTTCCTAGCTGGGGTGTCTTCCCTGCAGGGGCCTCTCACTCTAGTTTCCTGAACTCCCCTCCACCCACACTTCTCCCTGAGGACTCTACAGCTTCCTGCTGCTCTTGAGGAAAATTGGGATTCTTGCTCAGGTGTGCCTCTTTAGTAATCAGGGTTGGTTGACCCCAGGCCTTTAATCTTTAAGGGGCAAGCCACCTATTATACCCCTTGAAAGCACTACTGTTTGCACAACTGGACTATGGGCAGTGCAATCAGAAATAGTGAAACACTTTATCATCTCCCTGTTACAAAGATGACAGTGGCTGGTGGTGTGTGTGCTCAAACTCCATTCAAATGGGGGGATCTGGTTGTCTGTGCTGAGACTAGTTACACAGATTCACCTTTTTACAACAGTCAAACTAAGTAAAGAAAAAAAAACCTTGCTATGCTGGAAAGACACCTATTAAATGAAGGGCATGACTTACTTACCAGTTTGCAAAACAGTTTTTGTCTTAAGATTTATTAGTCTAATGCTGCTATTGTTAAGATTTTTTTTTTTTTTAAAAAACATTTCCTTTATGGTTCTCTACTTTCGGAGATTTATAGTAACATTAAAATTTGCTCTGGAAAACACGAATATAAAAAATCAAAACACAAGTCAATCAGGATTTGCTTGTACTCAAGATTAAAAAAAAAAACCATCAAAATTAAAAGTGAATAAAAAAAAAAAAAAGGGATTGTGCCCATTTTTATGCTACATAAAGGTGGCCAGAAAGATAGCTTTAAAAGACACATTTTTTAAAAAATTAAAAGTTCAGGTCATGTATAGCCTGGGAAATTTAGTGCTGACGGATGAAAAAAGTGAAGTGGTAACATCCCAAGTGCTAACATTTAGCTGTTAAGAAAGAGACATTTACTCAAACTGATTAAAAACATTAACTTGTAGGGCTGATCTACACAAGTTTTTTTTTTTTTTTTTAACCACTTAACTGTATAAGTGCAATGCTCTAGGCCTGGTCTGCACTTAAAAAAGGCTGACATAACTATCACACTCAGGGTGTGTGTGAAAAGTTCACACACACACACACACACACACACACCCAAAGCCATAGCTATGCCAACCTAACACCCACTGTAGACACACTAGGTCAATGAAAGAATTCTTCTGTCAACCTGGCTACCGCTGCTCAAAGAGATGAATTACCAGCATCAATGGAAAAACCCTTTCTATCATGGCTGGGAGCAGCTACACTACGGTGCTACAGTGCCCTAGCTGTGCATAGTGAAAATACAATACAAGTGTGGATACAGTTTATACCAGTATAAAGATGCTTATGGTCCCGATATTTGGGGCTGTGTGTTATATAGGCGCCCATTACCCCCCACCCCCGTCCCGATTTTTCATACTTGCTGTCTGGTCACCCTATTATGCTACAATGGATTCTCATAAAATGACTTAGGCCCTCTCTAAATCAAGGAAACACATATCTGTATGTTATCAGATTACAGTGCACTGGTATAAACCTTTTGTGCTGGTGCAGCATGTTTTCATTAGAGTTTTGCGCCAGTGCAACTATGTCGTTTTGTAGTGTCACACACACGGGTGCAGGAGATAGTTCCTCAGTTTTTCTGAAATCCTTCTGCCGAGCTGTTCAGCATATTTGGAGTTATATGTAGTAGTCAGAGGGTTAAGACTTCAAAAAAACTGAGGAACTATCTCCGGCACCTCATATGTGTTCTTGCACCATCTGTTCTACCTTTGTATTTAGCTGCGACACTCTGAATACCTTTCCCAAACCTGAAAAAATGCTCTGTATAAGCTTGAAAGCTTGTCTCTTTCACCAAACAAGCTGGTCCAATAAAAGATATTACCCCTCACTCATCTTGTTTGTTTAACATCCTTGGACCAACATGGCTACAACACACCGAACAAAAATAGTTAGAGACGTCCTTACTGTTCTCAACTGCATTCTGAAAAAGGAATTGTTTTAAAATTAGCACTCAATGATAGCATGTGGTGACCTAAATTTGTATGAACTTATAATAATGCCTTTAAATATCAGTTCAACAGCAACCCACCAGTCCTCATAGCATTTGTTTAAATTCTTTCAGAAGTCTTAAAAAGGTGAAGAATAATGTAATGTTAAACATTGAAAAAAGAAATCTCATGCTGCAATTAAAAGGCAGAGGCCTTCCGGTACCCTAAAGTACCCACGTACAAAAAAACCCCATACATTCTTGCAATTCTGCAAGCAAAAAATTTCAGAAGGAAACAGGACAGAAAATGGGCTCAAATACTAATAATTTAATAGGAGCTGCACTTTTTGAGTTGTCTTTATTTCAGTAGGCCCTAGTGGACTCTAATAATTCCCTACATTGCTCCATGAATTGGGTATGTAACATAAAATAATTAAAAAAAACAAACAGGCAATATTTTAAACAGCCTGGGCTAAAGAAACAGACTCAGATTCTCAACCTGTGGTTCCTACCAGTGGCTTGCAGATCAGCTGAAAGGTCATATGGTGCTGAATCTCTTCCGTGTTTCTAGTAGCTTCTATAGGAATCTAGGTGGTTAATTTAAAGAAGAGTCTGGAGGCCTGCAAAAGCAGCTGATAGCAAAGAAGATGAGTCATTCAAGCCACCTCTACTAGGGGCGGCTGTGATATAACAGGATGTCCTCAGGGACTGGAGTGCCAGTGGGACTGGAGCGGTCAATCGCCCTTTGGAGAAGACTATCCAAAAGAGAAGGAAATGAGGTAACGAGACAGCACATCCTGGCGGATGGGCACCAAGTGTCAAGAAGTAAGTGTAGGTAGGGCGGAAGGGATTGGGCCAGCCAACAGAGAAGCACATGAAGAGGAGCCAGGGAGAGAAACAGAAGAGGTGTGGGAGGAGGATACAAATTATATGAACAAAAGGAGATGCAGTGATTTGTTCTTTCAGAAACAAAAACTTCATATTAAACACAGTTAAATACGCATCATGCCACTCCTCTATATTCTACCTGAAGAGTTGCTGTAGCTAACGGTCTACGTTATTCAGCTGTCAGCGTTAAGGTGCCCATGTGACAGCAAATGGGAGGAGAGGTCTGTGCTATGAAAAAATCTGAGAATCCTTGCAATAGACCAGTGTGTTGATGTCCCCTAACTTAATGGAGTTTTGCTTACAACTAAGGTTGGGGGTTTGTCACAGAGATTACGGAAGTCACGGATTCCGTGATTTTCTGTGACCTCCGTGACTTCTGCAGCAGCCAGTGTGCCTGGCAGCTCTGCGGGCTGCCTCCACTCAGAGCAGTGGCTTCGTAGCTCCCATTGGCTGGGAACCGTGGCCATTGGGAGCTGCGAGGGCAGTGCCTACAGGTGGAGGCAGCCAGGCCTCCGCCTAGCAGCTAAGCGAGGGGGATGTCACCGCTTCCGGGGAACCGCCCAAGTAAACGCCGCCCAGAGCCCGCCTCACCCCGTCCCGTGCCCCAACTCCCTGTCCCCTCCCACACCCAAACTCTGCTCCTGCTGAGGATTGGGGGAGGCGTGGATCCAGGTAAGGAGCCTGCCGGCCCCACTAACACTCCCCTCCAGCATCAGCAGGGGTTCCGGGCCATGCGTCGCCATCCCCCACACCTCCTCCCCAAGTTTTAGTCAGGGGTACATAGTAAAATCATGGACAGATCACGGGCCGTGAATTTTTGTTTACTGTCCGTGATCTTTTCATGACCTTTACTAAAAATACCCGTAAGGCAGGCTATGTTTTAGTCACATCACACAAATAGGTGTGCAAGATTAAGGCAATAGCAGAATTTTTGTTCAGCGATATAGGTGAGCGAGGGTGCTACCAAGACAGTCAGGCTCACCTGGATTGGCACCCAATGTTCCTACAACTCCACTGGTCACACAAGAAACTTCTAACGTGATCTGTATGAATCTATAAAGTTAGAAACTATTCTCAGCTTGGAGAAAAGTAGTTGGCCAAAAAGTAGTTAAGCAACACAACAACAAAAATGATACTGGTTCATCTTGGGAATATTGTGAGGCATGAGGCAAACAGATGAATAGCTCCAACCACCCAAGAAATGCACTGATTCGAATGAAATATAAATTAAATAAATGAAGGGAGCTCTGATGGTACAAAATTGTTATTATGAGGTTTACAGTGCTCAGACAGACTCTGATTCAGGAAAGCAGCCATGTTCAGGAGAAAACTTCAGTTCATGCTTAAAGTCAAGATATCCTGAATAAGGATGGACTTAATCAGGTGCTTAAATACTTTCCTGAATCAGGACCATATTGCAATGGTAAACATGACATCAAAAGCTTGAGACATAGGTAGATGATAGGCATGGAGGGGAGATCTGTCAGTTGTTTGTTTCAGGACTCCATCTCTCTTTTTTTGTAAATAAAGAAAATAAATTGTCCTGGGGAATGGGAAGATGGATTTCCTCTAGGACAATCATTATTCTCTTCACCTTCCAACCCCCCCAGGCTCCTGAAAGCTGCCCAAGGAGATGACAATCT